TATGAATGGAAGTACAGATTTTAGTAGACGAGTCGGTCATGGTTTGGAGTTGTGCCAGTATAAATGGAAGTACAGATTTTAGTAGACGAGTCAGTCATGGTGTGGAGTTGTGCCAGTAGTATGAATGGAAGTACAGATTTTATTGTTCTTGAGAAAAGCAATTTTACTGCTTGACGATATAGTAACATGGTATAGGAAGTATTTGAATGACGTTAGAGGATATTACTATTTTATGGGTTTATACAGTGATAACTTTTCTCTAGTGACTATAGTCAAACAATAGTCAGACGATGAAACAAATGCGGGTTCTCAGCCGACCCGAGATTCCACTGACCAACTGAAAGACCCAGAGTGACCACTCTAAGATCTTTTGAAACGTGAATGTTAAAATGGAAACATCAACAGTACTAGTGTCACCTTTCTTTTTTTAGATTTTTGTCATGATAATGTTTATCTTGAACTCTTACAATTCTTCTTGAAGGTAACTGTAAATAAGTGATTAGGTACTTTTTATACAGAAGCCTAACATTATTGTATTCTGCCTTTAAAAAATACCATGTAGGTAAAAAAACCAGGGGGGATTGAAGGCGGGTTGGAGGAATATTCATGAGGGCAAATGGCTTTGGATGCCCTGATTAGAAATATATATATTTGTGTATCAGAACGAAACCTAGTCGTCCGTCTGTCAGGCAGCTATCCATCCACCCGCCCATCACTCTTTCTATATGACTGTCTGATTAACTTTCTGTTTACGTATTTGCTTATCTACAAAAGTTTAGTAGGTCATACTAAAATGAATTTGGAGCCTCACAACGTGGTTATAGTGGATGTTGCCATGTTTGGTCATGCTCTGTTTGACGACTGTGAATTTTTAAAACAGCAAATAGTCATGTAATGTAGTGGTTTCCGTTGCAAAAGGTTCCTTGGTAAGGCTGTCATGTCCAAAGCACACTGCCTCTTCCTGCTACTTCATATACTCCATCTAGTATACGAGAACGACGGTTTCCCAACACCCATTTCAACAGCTTGTTGCGCTGTGTCCAGCACTGACCGCGCTATGTTCGTATGGAATACTCGTGTATAATAGAAAACTTTATCTTGGTGAACAAATACCTTTTTGTCCTCGTTTCCAGATCCTTCTTGATCATGTTGTGTATGTTACAATGCACCACACTTTGCTTACGTAAATGGCTGGGGTACAATTAGTTGCAAGCCTCTTTGTGGGTGGTCCTGATTCCCCAAGTTGTTCCACATTCCTTTGTTTTCCAAAGCCATTGAATACAAAGATACCATCGTCTTGGTCATTATAAATCCGTGATCTGAACACACCTTTATTATCCAAGTGTATGAATATTTCGCGTAGGAAAGGTCTGTTACACACTCTTTCCAAAATGGACACATTTTCGATAGTATCGCACGGTCTATATATTGCTACTTAGTGTCGAAATGTAGTTCTGATACATGCCGTTCAACCGTGGATTTATATCAACTTTGTTTGTCAGGTAACTCACCGACTTGCATTTTCAAAATCGTTTTAACATAACGTACTCAACCTTATGTAGAAGAGTACAACTCAACATTTCTTTAATTTGAGAAACTTTGAATAAATGTTTATGGAAGTAGTAGATAATAAGATTTCCAGAAGTAAATGTTTACATTTTCGGCCTGGTTTGATACTGATTCAATAAAAGTATTTAGATTCCATACCTTAGACCTGGCATAGACGGGTACTCATCCACTGTCCCATAACTCGGACCTGGCATAGACGGGTACTCATTCATTGTCCCATACCTCGGACCTGGCATAGACGTGTACTCATCCATTGTCCCATAACTCGGACCTGGCATAGACGTGTACTCATTTATTGTGAGTACGTATTACCTGAGCAAATCTAATACTAACCCGTAACCTGAAGCCAGGGTTGGTCGAAACGTTCTGACTGATTTTTTCTTTATTACCAGCTATTAGGCAATTATTATTGTAAAGTGTGCTTTTGATGTTAATAAAACTATGAGTTAAGAGAGATAACTGTGTTAATTCCATATGATCTACAACTTATCTTTGAACGTCAGAACATCCAGAGAATCTTCGAGTTTTAATTCACGTAACAAAAATAAATTATAAGCAAACATATAAGGTCCACTGTTTTATTGCCCCTCTCCCTCGGTGGCTCAATAGTAAGTCTGAAGGCTTATATTGCTAAAAGTTGTGTTTCGATACCCGTGTCGACAGACCACAGATAACCTATTGTGTAGCTGTGCCCTTAGCAACAAACACTGTTGTATTATTTACCAGTATATCCCGTATAATGTGATAATATGTCACACAAGTATGATAAGAAATGCTCACAAGAAGTAAATAACCCAACTAAGTAAAACTTCTTGGAAAAAAAAAAGAGTCAAGACCTAAATAAAATATCACACGAGACTTCACGTTTTGAGAGGATAAGCAAGAAATACTGGTTGAAAAATAAAGCAGTAATACATAAATATGTACAAAACATCAACAATCACAAAGTTGAATAAACTGGGTAAGCTTAGTGAAAACTTTTGGTTTAAATAGCGAATATAATAATAATAATAACGCGTATGGGTTAAATCGATGTTTGGCTAAGCGGACGGCGTTTAACATCGAGATTTAAAGTAAACTAAAATATAAGTAAAATACATGTAATATATTAGAAATAACTTGACTAAGAAACACGGTGTTAATAATAACACCAAAATTTAACGCATGGGTTTGCCTAAAATACAAAGCCCTGGTTGTTCTATAAGGACCATCGTTTCTAAAAATAGAACATTTAATCATAATAAATAACGGGGTTTTTAGGTACCATTTATTGGTAGCTTATACCGTAGCAAATATATATAGAAAAAATTAATTTTGTATACATTTAAAGTTATGAAAATTTTAACCAAGGGCCTAGCATGGCCTGGTGGTTGGACGCGCTCGACTCGCAGTCGGAGGGTCGCGGGTTCGAATCCGTCACCGAACATGCTCGCCCTTTCAGCCGTGGGATCGTTATAAGGTCACGGTAAAATAGTTGCCCAAGAGTTGGCGGTGGGTGATGCTGACTAGCTGCATTCATTCTAGTCTGTCACTGATAAATTAGTGTCGCGAAATTTTTGCGCGAAATTCAAAAACAAAGCAAACAAATTGAATATGTTTACTGTGTGAGTTTTGGTTGTACGTAAGTATTCCTTCAAGTAACGCTTTGACTTTTATAGATGATTCACTATTTACACATTCTTCTGCCTATATTTGTTTTACTATAAAAAATAAATAAACTGACTTTGTATCAAAGCAGTTTCACTTTACATATAACCACGATCGCTACTGTTAAACAGATGAAGTTGTTGTGGGCGTTAAGCGTCTACCTAAGTTAATTTTTTTTATGTGTTTGTGTTAATAAGATGAACGTTTTAGAGTACAAATATTAGATTGAATGTATAATTTAAGGACAACAAGGGACCTGTTGGTTCATCTAAGTTGTCCCATTCACTAAAGTTTAAGACAAAAATAAACACTTAAACACACTGTCATTCTAATATTTAGCAAGCGTTTTCTTAAGTTCCCTTAGATAAATTGCATCCACTACACATCTGAAGTCAACCCATTCCAAAGGTCAATCACCTTGTAGGAAAAATAAAGCTGACTTAGCTGAAGGTGACTCCTACCTTGCCAAAATTTATGTTTATGTCCCTTTGTCCTACAATTCTTACCATTAAATACGAAGAAAAATGTAACGCATTACAATCTTAATCACCTCAATCGGATCCCCTTTAACCCTTCGTTTTTCATGAGAAAATAATTTCAGAGATCTTAACGTGTCCTCGTATGACAGCCTCGTATCCCAGGTTTAATCCTAGTAACCCTTTCCAACAATTCAATGTCCTTTCTAAGGTAAGAAGCCCACGAGTGAACACAGAACTCCAGCTGTGGTCTAACCAATGAACTATACAATGACATTATAACCTTTTTAGATTGGTCACCGAATAATATATTCTTAGTAACTTTCTTGCATACATAAATACTGTCATTCACCCGTCAGATTTACGTCAGAAGTTATTTTCAAGTAATAACAAATAAACAATTTTAATAAGATTAATTGAAAATTCATTGGTGATATCTCCACATTCTAAACTTTTTCAAGAGGAATTTTCAGTTTATTTTTCGTTGCTATGTTTTTCAAGCCAAATATCAGTACAGTGAACAAAACCTTAACGTCTCGATCTACGAAACAGTGTAGCAAGATGTCTATTTTTGGACTATCAAGCTGGCATTGTTAAGTAGAAATTATCCAAACAATTGTAAGTTATTTATCCTCAGATTGTGTTTAAGACTTGTTATTCACACAATTATAGGAATAAAACATTATAATAGTTTGGTTTGATCGACTCTAAGATCTATGCCTATTCGGAGCAAAGAACACAGAGAATCGACCTACAGGTTTCAGTAAACGTAACGCTGACCCACTGGACATTTCCCTACCATTAGATCGCAACACACCAGTGCAAAGCATTGTTTAAAACGCATCAACAGATAACGTAAAACGATTACTGAGATGTTCGTTAAGAAAATTAAACCAGTTTTAATTTTTGGTTTTATTATAGAAATATATTTAACTGTTTTTTTTAACAATAGAGAAAACTATGACTTACTAATAATTGTTTAAATTATTATCTTAGATGTGTAAAAATAGTGAAATAATTCTTGTTTTATTACTAACAGCTGAGTAAGTCGATATTTAAATGGAAAAACAATTTATTATTTATAGTAACTCGAACCCTGAATGCCTCTGGAAAGCAACACAAAATTGACTGTTTTTACTAACCAAACTTCGTTAAATCAGACATTAAAGAAACATATTACTATCTTGGGTATTTACATAAAATTAACTGTGCAAAAGAAACACAATTTAATATTTGTGATAGTTAAAATCATGGAAATAATATCTTGGAATGACAATTTGAAATGCATGGAAATTAATTAGAACTTACTTCATCTGTTTAACGATGGTGCTTTTTCCAGATTCGCCAGCACCTACAGGAGGGAAATTAAATTAGAAATTGTCTGGTAGAGCGATCAAAACAGTTACCTTCAATGCATTAATATGTATATATATTATAGTTGAAAACGGAGTGCATTGATCGATTTTACAGCTCCGCTACAAAGTTTATAATAACATTTTAGTAATAGTAGTTCTAAATGAAGACAACGTACGTAATTCCAAAAATGTTTTAGTCAATTTTAGCAACATATTCACCTTTATACAAGAAACGTTCAATACGAGATATCTCGTTACCAAAGAAATTAATATCTTTGCAATTGTCTGGATATATTCAGATTCCATAAGCTAATTATGCTATCAAGTTGTAATTTTATTTTCTTTCACCAATTAAAACAATTGTTTTGGAACAGAAAAGAAAACACGGAGAAAATAGTTGTGTGAGTAAAAAAAAAAAAAATCGAGGAAACGCTCAATATATTCTAACCCAACAATTACAGACGTTAACGATACGTATTACGTAAACTTAAGTTTAGTAGAACGATAAGCTTACCTAAGAGCAAAAGCTTGATATCTTTCGCCGCTTGTACACCATCTTCCCTTATATTTTTCTCTATTTGTTTGCTTCTAGTAAGAGCAGCCCTCTCTTCTGCACTCATAGCACAGCCCATAGCGGCGGCAGTGATGTGATGGTCGGCTTCCCCTCACACCATCAACCTAAGCCTACTTCCTTGTTTCTCCTCACAACCGACCTAATTAAAATCACTATATACTCCAGAATTACAGCAGGTTATATCCTATAGGTAGCTGACCAGGAATTAATTCTAGCCTTTCGGTCGGCCTTGCTACAGCCGAAAGGCCTACAGTTTTTAGAAAGACCGAAATCCGCCACGAAGTGGTTATGAGCGGTAACAGAGAAAATCAATGCCCAATCAGGATGAAGCATGGCGTCCCCAGTTTACCGTTGCCATAGCCCCGCATCGTGGATTCCAGCAGGGTAGTGACGTCATTTTACAGTTAGCTATCGTGGTTTTGACAGAAACTAACTGTAAATGATTTTCGTTTCATGCAAAAACAAAATATAATTCAAATGCTCAATTTTATTCGTTTTTAAAAAAGAGAAATGGAACAAAGACGTGAACATCAAAACGAGTATAGTTGTTTAGAATGTATAAATAATATTCTGTAATTACATTTAAGTTGATCGGTTATAATATAAAAATTTCAAACCGAAACGCTTATATGTAGCCGTTACAAATGCATTTCTGAAAAGCTGGCGTTCGAGGTCGGAGAGGAAAGAAGGTTCTCCACTTACACAGAAGCGAAGGTAATAGTAGTAAGTCTTAAATACTTAATTATTTTCCATGCACGGGTTGGTGGTGTTGCAGAAGTTTGGATTGTCGAACCGAGATAAAGTTTATGTTGTGAGTGAGTTATAAAGAAGACAGTCAATTCCTTAGCATTGATAGTAGGATGATGCTCATTGGTTGCTTAATCTCTGGTCAGCAGTTCGAAATTAGCCTTAGTGTGTTTGCCATACGTACGAAATACGAATACTGCTTATTGGCTTGATTTAGCTTATATACCCACAGTCAAATTAATAATTAATGACACACTAACACAGCTGCATCAAATTGTTACGGTTACTCCTACATTATTGATGACGTCATAGCCGTGTTAATGAAAAAAAAATTTGATCTGTATGAAAACTAGAAATTATAAAACATTTGGAAAATTTAAGCACATTCATGTTTATATAGGTATACTATGTTCCCTTCGCGAATTTTCTTAGCTTTGACATGAAAAGCAAGTTGGATACTTTCAACTATCTCCAAATTCCAAACACTCGTTCTGTGAATAGAGGATGGATTTCCAGAGTATGTTAATTATTTAAATATCTACAATATTCTACTTAATATCTACATACGGTGCTCAACATTTGTCAATCTAAACATTATTCTCTGTGGTCTCTTCTTTCGCGGACTGGTGGTTAGGGTACCCGATTCGCAATCTGAGGGTCGCGGATTCGAATCCCCATCACACCAAACGTGTTCGTCCTGTCAGCCGTGGGGGGCATTATAATGTGTTGATCAATCCATTGTTCGTTGGTAAAAGAGTAGTCTAACAGTGGGCGGTGGGTGTTGTTGTTGTTAACTAGCTATCTTTCGTCTTCTTTTCTATCACTTTTTAAAGATATTGTTACATTCTCCCTAATGCATTATTATTTATTTGCAGAAAACGTAAAAGAGGAGGTTTCATACATAGATTATTACATGTATACCTTATGTTGAAGATCAGTATCTAATCACTCCTGATATAAGAAAGGATCTTACTGAAGTAATACTGTGATACAAGATTAAATTCTCACCTATTAACAGAAATATTTAAGTACAAAAATGTGGAAGAAGGGGTATTACTTTACACCGAAAACAGATAATACAAATCAACGTATGATGTAATATTTCTAACCCTCCATAATAGCACTGAACACAAACAGATATGCTTCAGACAGCGATGAAATGAGTTAACGAAAAGCTTCTGGATAACCAAATTGTGTGGAATGGAACTGTACCCTTATTTATGTTACTTTTCAGAAAAACAAAAAAAATTAAAACCGTTCTTAGAAATAATTATATTTCACAGTGTGGTTTTATTCAACAACAACAGAGATTATAAAATAAATACAATACAAACAGACTCTATTGATAAAAGTATATTTATGGCCAAAACACTGACAGTGCAGGTTTTTTCAACAATGTGCAGGATTTTATAAATAAAATTTATAACCCTCGGAGAATACCATGTGGTGATTGAAACTAATTGGCTGCCTCAGGGAGGGGGAGGAGATGTCATAGTTACACAAAGTGTCACCTGAGGGCGTTTTGTTAGGGACGAGTTTCTAGGCCGCCATGGCAGGCGCCCATGACACCAAATTGTCGCCAGAGGGAGCAGCTATCTAAGAGAGGGTTGAAATTATAGTTCGATACCAAACAGACGGCCATGATGGATGATTACGTAATAGTTCTGCGAAATCAGAGAACGTGTTTATAGGTGGCCATGACGTGATAGTTCCACAAGTGGAAACAGTACAATTTTTTCAACATGTTTCAACATGACTATATTTAATACAATCGGTTTAAATCACTAAATTATTAGTTAATTAAATTTCCTGACCATTTATATTTAAAAACCATCCTAAAAATGATGCTTAACACGAAATGTGGTCGGCGAGGTAAGCCAAAGGTGGCGCATGCCAACAGGCTTTGGCGTTATCACGGTCCAGAACATTTCAGTTGGAATAAAGTGAACAACGGAGCAAATGATGCTGCTGAAGATGTGTCACCTGAAAAAGCCACTGTTGAAGAAGAAACTCTACCCGGTTTTGAGAAGGGAAACAATGAAGCTCTTGATGAAGCTACTACCACTGATGTGACTGTTACCGATGATAGGACATTTCCTGATGGAGCAGATGAACCCCAGTGAAGCAGAAGCCAACGAGACGGAGACCAGTACGGAAGAAGATACGTCCCGCAAAATT